GTGTGAACAGATCTCTTTTTGGAAGAGGCATGGTTCTGAAAAGAACCCGTGAGTGTGTACTCGACGTTTCGACCAGTGTGCTCTGGTCATCTTCAGGAGTGCAAGGACGTGAAAAGTGCTTACGGGTTGTACTGTTCTGTACCATCATAATAGGACCATCAGTAAGAGATGATAAAGAAATAAACCTTAGTACTTTCAGTATGTAATCACCCCACCACACCGTGTTTATCACAATAATAAATAAACTCGTATTTCTAATCTCTGTACAATATACACCCAGTAATCCTCTTTTCATCCAGAAATCCTCTAGCCTATACTGTCGTGCTGCATAACCATTGTGTATAAAGCACAGTGTGCGCACAAATAGCAGCCGTTTCTTCGCTTGACATGACCCCAACTGGGAGAAACTAGCACTGGGGAGATTACATTCAGCTACTGTGGAGTCTTTTAGTCCACATAATGTTTCTGAAGTCAAAGCCAAGATCAGAATCCATGACCACAGCTGCTCGTTAAACCAACTTGTTTAAATATTCAGCCAATGACCAACGACTGAAAACGTGACTGGCTACGATCGCCGACATCCAACCCCGATCTGCATTCAACCACCACGCATTTCGCTCAACCCAGGTTATTATTTTATGCGAATCACGGTGACTCAGCGTTTTGATCATATTGACATAAATTGAAAATCATGGTTTGAATTTCACAGGCCCATGCACAGTTCACGCGCTAAAATGTTATTTCAGTTCGTGTTTGAACAGGCTTTTGAGTACTCAGGTACAAGGTTCAATTTGGAACAGCAGCGTCATTGACCAAGCCAATGCTGGCACGCTACAATTTTTCACACTGACAAATACATATACATGTATACATTGTTCAAATTATAAAAGACTTGTCTTTACTGTGACCCTAAAGTTAAGAACTTACAAGGTAGTAACTTCGCGTTTCTCTTCAGAAAAGATGAGATAATCGTTTTCTCTGGCCCCAGTCTCCAAGTCGCTGTTATACTCTAACTTAGACATCTTTTGCAAACCTGAATCAATCAACCTGAGGTTTATTAGGATCTTGTTGAATTGTGCAATCGTCTGCAATATCTGATCTGTGAGAACAGAGTCCAATTATCGGTCGTTGGCATAGAGACACGATCTTTCACTAAATATCGCCACCAACAGCAATTGTTGTATGCTGTTCAAATATTGTTCAACTCTCTAATAACCACTGTCAGTACTCAAATACACCGACGCAATGACAAAAAGCAGGAAGTTGGACAAGTAATAAACGAGTCGCAGGCTGTTGAGTGGAACAGTTTAGGAAACAGCTTATCGTAGGGAGAGAGATCTGGTCCTATAGGTTAAGCCTTCAGCTGAAAACGAGCTCTAAACTGTATGGGGAAAGGTTACTTAGTAACAAGTGGAAAACCACCTGCAAATTTGTGAAGTATCAGATTGGAAAAAAGTTAGGAGAGGTCATTTCAAAGTTCAATTTGGTTCCTTTGGCAAGGGTTTTCATGACCTGATTCCCAACATGAACGATTTAGAAAGGGGAGAGGAATTTACCAAAGGTCATATTATAGCTGCAGGGCGCCACTTCCCCCCCTTTTTTTTTACTGCACTCAGAAACAAATCCTTGAATAGGTCTACACAAAGTTAGACAAATACAAATAGATTCAGACTGTGGAAACCATGAAGTCTGACTTTGCAAAACGGGGTTTATATTGTAAAAGGGGATTGGATAAGTGACTTGCACCACTTGCGACATACACCCACTTTGTTAGAATGATTAAACAATAGTACTCATAAATCGGTCCTATAGAACTCACCAAGAAAGTAACAAGTAGTAGCTAGCCTATAAAATAGTCTGAAAGTAGCATTCATTACCCAATAAAACTGGCAGTATTCTCAACTGGGTCTATTTGTAGCCTGAGAATGACGTGTTATCATAACTTGAGCGTGAACGCGTAGCTGCATTTAACGAAGACTTTTATAATGGATGACGGTGACACCTGTTGGAAGTGAAGCTTACAAATCATACCTGAAATTCGGCTCTTAAGTATTTTGTGTGAATAATAGGTCTGTCGATGATGCATCCAGGGTCTTTCAAGGTGTCTTGTTATCTGACTTAGTATGAAGGGACAAATATCTACATAAAATATTTCACCAGAGAGAAACAATAAATACTGGACAACGGAAATAGGATTCGTGTTGCGTGGCCATGGGAGAACATTTCCGACAACCAATAGTTGATGGACAGATTATTGGCCGCTGTTAACTGTAAAAGGACTACAATAAAAATGAGAGAGAATTTCCATTCATTCCTTTTGCGAATGTCACGGCATATCTGTTTTTTGATCAAATACAGTACTGTTTTCACAGCTGTTGTGTAATTCCTTCCAACGGCATTGGAATGAGTATTGAAATAAGATCCATGGCATCTTTATATATCTTTTCAGCATTAAGAGCTCAGAAATGGCTTTTTATTCTGTTGACGTTCTGTTAACTCACTAGATGAACAACTTACGAATCTTCCAATAACTCCTCATTAACTGCTGATATCTTTTCAAATGCGTATTTTCCCCCATTTTTAAAAAGACTTAGATTACTCCGTAGAGCCTACCTCAAAATTTACCGTTTCTGTAGATTACAGATTAAGCTACTAGTATCAAGACACTTTCCCTGAGCGTAGGCCTACTTACTGAAAACGATAATCAAACTATATTATTATGTGACCGATCTTACCCTTTGATGGTTGCTTCTTCCACGTCAAGGCCTGTCAGCTCCTGGGTTGATTTGCCGTTTTCCATTTCAGCTGATTGGACAATGTCTTGATATACAAATCAAAAAAGAGTACTGATTCAGCCTATCTTTTGGACTGTACACGAACTAACTTAATTGCTCTTTACAGTCCACAACAGGGCGCTCAAGAAGAGTAACCCAAAATGCAACACGGTGACTAACCCGCAGCTCGATTTCTA